ACTCAAACCTAACATTCATTTTGATCCAAATGCTGCTGCTGTGTTGGGTCAGTTCACTTTCAGTCTCACCCTCACCTCAATCGAGATTTCCCGACTAAATCTCTCAATCTTAAAAGCAAAAACTGATGTAGAAGGATGAGCGAGGCCAGAAATATTGGGAAGAAGATGAAGCTATCTAGCTAGCCTGAAGGGCACTCCACCCTACATTTATACATTCTGTATAGGGTGGTGCCATTGCCACTTTGCCAGAGCTATCACCATCGGTGTTAAGTGTTAACCCTTTAGCAAGAGAAGAGATTCCCTTGGATTGATTATTCCTCATGCCACCCCCTCCAGGCTCCATTTTTATGGTTGGGTTAGGTGGAGGAATTGCTCAAGCACTAATCGTCAAGTGCCACTTTGCAATGTGCGCTTGTTTTGGATCCTCGCTGGCTTTGAGCTCTAAATGAAATTATTCCTACCTCCTTCACCCACTTGATTTGCGAGTCTCCAGTCTCCACCATGCATTAAATTCTCTGATACCCTAAGTCTTCTGTATTCCATGCCATTCTTTCAATGTGTGTTTGTGTAATATCCCAAATTTAACAAACCTGAGGTGCAGACAGTAGATGCCCTCCCAACTCCATGGGTATTTTGTCTTTAATTAAAATCGGCCCTTAAGACTCATCGATGGTGGCTCTCTTCATAGGACCTCTGACTTGTGGTTACCACCAGGAGGGTTAAGTGACTACCCCCGTTGTGTAGTCTCATCAAGTCAAGAAAACACAACCCTTCTCACTAATAGCTTATTTTTCATCAACACACTGTTCGCAGTTATGATTGAGAGGTTTTGTCTCATCTCACTCGGGCTATATTTGGTTGCCCAGATCACAAGAATTTGGGAGAAATCTAGAAATTAGATAAGGATTTGTAGGTGCATTTGGTTAGCAGAAGAGATTGCTGGACTGGCGTTAGCATTTGTGACTAGGGCTCAGTTTGGGAAGAGTATAAATATAAATATATAAATATATATATATATATATATATTAAATTCATGGCAAAATGGTCCCATTGTGCAGCTGGGTTCCCATACTTGTGAAGTGTGTACAGAGTCCCATTACAAGATTTTTCAATCAAAACTGTTTATATTGAAAATCACTTTCTAAATAGGATTTGGATCTAATTGGAAGTTGAAATATCATACAATACTTTTTTTTTGGCACAAACTGAAGAAGCAGCTTAATTGATTATAACTAATATTTACATGCTTCTGTTTACATGCAAAATAAGCTAAAAAAGATGAGCCAGCTTGCTATATTGTCTATTTACATATTCAAAATGATAACTTCTAAATAGTCGAAGTCGATTGCTGATATTTTTCCAGTGAAGTTTTTCGATCCACATTGCTAGACTGTCGTTTGAAGTAAACAGCTTTAGCTAAGGTCTTACAGTCAGAGTATATTACTATAGAATTAGCAGAAAGTGCTGAAGCTGCTTCAAGACCACTGATTAGGGCTCAGTTCAGAGTCATAGCTGTTGATGGCCCATCATGATCGACCTTCAACTTGTGTGCAAGCATTCCCAGGGTGTTGGATGACGAATGAGCATCCTGCAGGAGTTCACATCTTCACCCCACAACGTCCCGCCTCACAGTGTATCCTTGCCGTGTATTGGGAACATCTCCCAATGATAATGATGATATCAGAACCGATGAAATCATCATTGGGAGATGCTCTCAATACACGGCGGGGATGTGCTGTGGAACATTGTGGGGCGGGACATTGTGGGGCAGAGATGTGGTCTCTCCTACCAAATCTGTTATCGGATAGGGTCTGGTTCCAAATTCTTAGAATCAATCACCACCTAGGCCGATTCCGGGGTCTAGATAGGAGTTTACCTTCCCAAACCAACCCAGAGAACTGGCCCTGGTGGAACCAGCCTTAGAATTGAACTTGCCCGAGAATAAATCCCAAAATGCTTTAAAGATGTAAAGATTAGAATTCAAGTATTCATGGTTACAAAAACCATGGTTTCACTTGACAATGAACCACTATGTAATATTTATAAAATTTAAATTATAATGATGAGTTTTAAACTTTATATTAATATATTATAATAATCTATCGTAATATAAGTTTTAAACTATGTTTTATCACTATTGAAAATTAAGTTTAAACATATTATGATTGTCATATTATTATTATTTTTATACAAAGAGCAGATTCCATGGATAGACCCTTAGAACCCAACTCAGAACTGTCAAGAGCAGATCCGACCTTGGAACCAGTCTTAATAGGATAGGTTCTGATTCCAAAAACCGGTAACCAACGCCATGATAAGTTCCAAGCTCTACCTTGAAACTAAACCAAATCAATCTATACTCACCCCTACATATAAATGTTACTTTTTAGGCTCCATGGGAAGAGTTTAAATACAAATATATTTGGTGTAAATATAAAGCAAATATGCAAGGTTCATAGACATAAGCCCGCCGTTTGTATTTGCAGCACTAAACATATTTTTATTTACACTCTTCCCAAGTCGAGCATTAGGAACAGCTGCTACTCACAACCCCAAATCGGGACCATCTCCCATGAATACATTTGTGGGTACCGTGGGTAGCGTTTTGGGGGTAAAAGATCCGATTGATCTTATTTTGTGTATGTAGGAACCAGGTTTTTATTGCGTTACAAATCCTTTAGACTTACAAAAAGAGAAACTTTTTATACACAAAATTGATATATTACTTCAGATTGTCGAAATATGTATACAAACAGTCTTCTATCCAAACAGGAGTATCAGACAATAAACCATTCAGGGGTTTGGTTCTTAGGTCAAACGGTCTGATTATTTGAATCAAATGGATAGCCCGTTTTGACAATACAAAATAAAAATGGTCAAAAACCATTATTTAGATCACCATTTTGAACGATTCGACCATTCGAATCAGCGATTCACTGATCAAATCAATAGTTTTTGGCCAAAAGACAGTTCTAGGTGAAACAAAACCAGTCAAATGACCGATTCCCAGTTTTTTTGGTCCAACCATCCGTTCCGATCCGATTTTAAAAACATTGTTTCAAAAGACTTCGGTCCCAACATCTTTTGGGCCCATTGAGAAAAGCTGACTGCCATGAAGAAGCTCGACGAGCAGACTTGAAAGCCAAAACAACAGCTTCACGTCACTCAATTTGGTGTGGATCCAATTGTAGATGATTTAATCTGGGCCTGCAGAGTCTACTGACTCTCATCTAGGGCTGCAAATTGTATCTGTTTATCCGAATTTGAATTTAAATTCGATCCATTTAATAATCCCAATTCAATTGAACCGAATATGAATCCACCCTTAACCAATCTTCCGACTTGATAAAATCTAATCCAATTTGATTTAAATGTGTGTATATTTAATATTTATATTTCATCTACTTTCATTTTTTTCCATCAAGTAAAGTGGGGACTTGTTTTTAAACTTTTTTGTTTTGAAAAGGTAAAGAAAAGTGGGGGCAATGAAAATTATAGTAGGCTGTTTATTATGAAAGAGCAACCCCAAACAAACAGTTCTTGACTCCATTCTTAGTAAATGTTTAAGACGTGGACAGAAGCAATTAATGGAAAAGAGTGCAAATATGAATATGTTCAGTGAAAATATTTATTCTGTCATTTTTCATAAACTCTGCAAATACAAATGTGCATGTTAGCAGGTTGAGTTTAGGTCGGAACAAGATGATCCCAGTCCTCAACTGATTATTAATCAGGACTAAATCACAGACTCAGAACCGTCCAGGTTAAAAGTCGGGCCTCGGGTCTATTGGGTCCGGACCCAACTATAATGAAAATTACGTATATTTCTTTAAATAATTACTTAAAATTTAAATTTTAAGCATATAACCTTAATAAAAAATGATAGTAATATACTAAATTATTTATATGTTAATAAATTAAATGCTTTTTACTAATATTATCTTATATATTACCAATCAAATTTACCATTTCAAACATAAAATATAATAAAAATTATAAAAAAGTTAAGAAAATTTTATATATTTTATAAAACAATCGTCTCTGAATCTGAATCAATTCAGGACAAGCAATAATAAAAACCGACCCAATTATTGATCGGGACATAATTATGAAATCAGAACCAACATAATCAATTTCATTCAGTTCAGGCAGTCGGGCAGAACTGACCCATTGACAGCCATTGACAGTCAAAGTATCTTATGCATGCATTCGAAGGAGTAATACTCTTTGATTTTTTTTCTTTTAAATTTCAAGAATTGAGCCAAGACATATCTCTAGGCAAACCACCCAACACAGAGCACCAAATCAAAGCCTTTGACTTTGGCGTATTGCTAATGCTATAGCCTATAACCCTAAATTGAATTAGATGAAGTAATGTCATGCTGGAGCCCAACAATACATCGGTTATAGTCACGTATCGGCCCATATCGGAATCTTCCTGATACGCCCCTACAGGGGGTGTTTCGAGTCAGCGTGGTTCAGGGGGTAGACCAGCCCCTCTGAACCAAATGAAAAAAGAAAAAAAAAAAAAACATACAAGTCAATATCGTCCTATATCGATATTTTAAACCTTGTTTAAAAGTAGTCGCATGTCCTAAATCCTAATTCCTAATTTTTACTGTATTGATAAGTGGTGACATTTTGAACATTATAAAAATCTATTGGTTATAGGGACACAAGACAGGTATTGACTTCAGGGAGCCCGGATCTACTGGTTACCAATGAGTTGGATCCATTGCTAATCAAAAAAATAAGTACTTATTTTCTATTATCAAAATCATGTTTTTAGGACAAATTAATGAGAAAATATTCAAAACAATAAGAAAGAATAAGTATGCAACTAGTATGTTTCTAGCCAGCTTGTCCAAATGTACAATAATATCGTTGAAAGAGAAGCTTTAAACCATTAGCATTTAATTAAATAATTAACATGCCTACATTCTTTATTCTTGGTAGGTACATATACCTACATCTAATTACAGGTACGGCAGTTATTACCATTAAAAGCTTTAAACCATTCATCCCTTTTTTCTATCAAAAAAAAAAAACATTCATCCCTTTTCTTAATGACCCACTCACGCAACAAATAGCTTGAAGTGTTTAGTAAGCATGCATTTTAAGTCAAATTCCAAATTCATTAATAGAAAATTCCTGCACATGTAAAACAACAAATCTGAAGTAGCTGAAGCAACATTAGCAGAATAGTTGTCTCCTCTTGAGAAGAGTATAACTTTGGCTTGGACATCGCTGAGTTGGTTGACCACACCTATTTCATCACGCCAGCAATTTCATCTTGAGAAGGTTATTACTGGATCCGAAGAGGCGTCTCTTTGAGCATCTTTGCTATTTCAGAAATATATTTGCCCTGATTATATGCTTGTTGGAGCTCTAATTATGTGGATTGGTGCGACCCATCTCCCATACAAGTTCCAGCACCATAAGAAGAGCTACCAATCACCATCATTCATCTCAAAAAATGCCACTCTCAGGGGAACATATATAATGTCATGGTGCAGCGTGTTATGGCCATAAATCTGCAACAAGGGAGCCAATAAAGAAACCGACAGATAAACAACAGCAACAATCAAGCCCGGTAAAAAAAACTAGAATAATTACTGTTCCTATGCTATTGTAGAACCTATCTTGTTATTATTTAGGACACAACCTAGTTAAGGGTAATCTAAGTATCCTCCAATTCACATTCAAATAAATATGTTTTGGAATTGGTCCAGCATTCATACATGTCATTTAAACTTAAATCCCAGTTTCCTGTAATAGTCGTCCCCTCACCCTTGGTTTATTTATTTATTATTTTTCTGCTTGGAGAGAAACAAACAGCATGACAACATATGACAGAATTATCCAAATATACAACCAGATGCTGATTAGAAAGGCTGCACTTACTGACATCCCATTCATCTGATCATTGCCTCAGGCGACTCTAACTTGAAGGATGAGATGCACATCCCTTTTGAAGATGGACCTTAGCTCTTCATTAGCTTCCATGCCTATTCTCCTGCAATTAAAAAAAAAAAAGCAAAAGGCATAAGAGTTTGAAGAATAACAACAACAACAACAACAACAATAATAATAACAATAACAACTATCCTGGACATCAACTCTCACCAGGCCATCTAACTGACTACAAGTAAGAGACCTCAAAACTTAAAAAATTGGAAGCTCAATTTGATCAGATGTTCCTGATTAACAGCCATGTTGTCTTATTTATCATCCAGAACATGCAATATATCAGATTCCAAGGAACATTCTGTCAGGAATACCTCCCACCTGAGTCCACAACTTCATTGTTCAAAATGAAGAAACATAGATGCAGGTTTATTATCATAGATATAAAGTACCACCCAAAATAAGGTCATTTTGGTATATTCAACAATCACATAATCCATTGCCCAACTTTTAGCTAGTTCTAGCTGCCCTGAACGGGGTTCAATGGTTTAACTCTCCTCCTTGGATTTTGTCTTCTCTCACTCAAAACAATATATCTTGCATCTCTTCTAATGTTTAATTACATTTCTCTTTTTTACCAAAAAAAGAAACAATCACAAAAGTCATCATCACTGATAATGGTGAACTTTGATAGAAAAAGAGGATTTATTGAGCTAGACAACCAAATTACCCTATCTTAGATCCATTCTTCCCAACAAGAATTTTGCGCTGACTTTGCTTATGAGTGATAAAGTGTTGCTCAATCCTAAGAGAACCATCTCTCAACTCCTTCCAATCAATCAGGCGATGCTCCAGAGAATAAGGAATTTCCTGAAATGGAAGATAATGTAACCCACTTTATGGCTTCCTAACGAAAGATTCTTTGAAACTTATCAAAAGAAGAATAACCAGCACTTGATGGATATGGTGCAACATCTTCTCCCGGACAACTTCTAATGATATATTCTTCATAGTATCTTCGCTCAAAGTGGTGGGATCTTCATCCCAAGGTCTTTTGACTGCCTGAAGTAAATTAACATCAAAGTACATATCAGGCCTGTGGGATATATAACCAGTAAGCAACGGATTTACGAGTGATAAAAACCATTTCTAAAAACTGTGATGGCTCCAGATAGGCAAATTAACATTAGTTCTTATGAGAGAGATTAAACAATTTAAAAACAAAATATGGTCCCACCGTCCCAGAAAAGCACATCTATGTCAGGTATAAAGCTTAAAATGAAAATATCATAACAATATAAATACTACAGTTTTACAATGAAAGTAGAAATATACCTGATCCATCAAATATTGAGCAAGATCTTTCACTCCAGAACCTTTGAGACCCGAGATCATGAAATATCTAAGAAATGCAAGAATAAAAAAAATAAAAAAACTACAGATCTTGAGCATATGCATTAATTATTTAAAAACCCAAAATTAAACCTTTCATATCCTGGAAGATTTCCGAATTCCTGAGCAACTTTCAACAAGTCCTTCTTCACTTCAACAAGATCAACCTTATTCATACATAACACACGTTTCTGTTTTGGGTGTGCCTGTGCTCCCAAATGTCTAATCAATCTTATCACCCTTTTGTCAGGCCTAAAAGAAATTAAGAATTAGATGGTAAGGCACCCACACTCCGCATTGCCAACATGTCACAAGAGACTAGATCAAGAAGAAAAAAGGAAGTAAAATATATTTATCTTCACGGGATATAGAAGTTGCCACTTTGTGAAAAAAAAATGCCAAAGATTAGATCCACATCCAGTCCACCCCTCAAAAGACCCCAGATAGCAGGGACTAACATTGGGTAAAGGCCATTTTTCATGGGATATCAAATGGTGAAAATGACCGGCAGTGCAACTTACGGCAATTTCAAATGGTGAAAATGTGTAGCTGTATCTCAAAAAGCTAGAGAAATAATATAAATTGCAAACTTCTACATAACGAGCCAAAGTTGTTACTTAACAGTAATAGATATGTAACTGATCAAAATAATAGGTATGTAAGCATACTGAAATGAAGCTATCAGAGCATCAATAGACATAAAAGGAGTACACACCAATCATTAGTTGAATGTCACACAAGAAACATGTACCCTAACAATCTTGCTTATGTAATTTGGAAGAAAACATTGACAAGATACACTGAAACTGAAAGCAAAAGGAACTTACTTGGAAAGATGCCTATGGACATCAAAAATAACCATAAGCACATCATATAGATCAACGGAGCTCCAAGCACTTTCTACACGAACTCTCACATCAGTTTTGTAAGGGTATCCACCACTCTTTAACATGAGTCCTGGGGTATCAAAGAAACACTGCACAGAAGTAATCAGCATGTTTTCTTCAGGCAGAATAGAATTTTAATACAATCAAATGAACCCACCCACCCGCAATAAAAAAAGGTTCAAATCTACCTTCAACCATTGTGATAGGCAAAGCAGAAACATTGAATCTTGAAGTTTCATCATATCGAAGGTTGGTTTGTGTATGAAGTAAGCATATATATATATATATATATCGAATTATATCGAAGGCTGGTTTGTTAGCATCTTCGTTTCTAAAGGGAAAAGGGCAATAATCTTGTTCTTCCACTAAAACAAGGGTTTGCTTCGTATTACTTTTCTTCTTTCTCAACATGAAATCAGGGGTTCCACCCACGCTTTTTCCTTCTTTTCCAATATGAAAACAGAGGATGTCCCTCCTATCTTCTGTTTCTTCTATACACCTTTGTGTAGGACACATATTGAACACTGACACTGCATGGATTCCAGAAAGACACTGCTATATGATATTTTTCTCTCTCATTGTTTATTTGATGGAAATGGAGCAGAGTGGTGGGCAGTCAAGAAGCAATGTTTCCAAAAAATGTGTGGAAGAAATGTGTATGCTGAGATGGATGAATGGAAATTTAGAAAAGGATAGAATCAGATACGGAGTCATTTGTAGGAACATAGGACATAGGAGTAATGGAGTAGCACCAAGAGGTGATAAAATGAGAGAAAGTAGAGTTAGATGGTTTGGCCAAGTGCATAGAAGACAACCAACAGCACCTGCAAGAATAAGTAATTTATTATAAGTAATTTATTGCAACTTGAAGGGTCTAGAAGGGCTAGAGGTTGACCAAAAATGTTAGGAACCTGCCTAACTCAGGGCTCTTCGAGGGGCCAACCTCCTGAATTCTTGGCAGGAGAGAGAGAGAGAGAGAGAGAGAGTTTAATGCTGAAAGAGTCCTCCCCTATTCCTTTTCTACTCTACTACTTATAGTGCTACAATCTTGACTGTTACAGCTGTTACAAGTGGCTGGTTAGTTGAGCTGATGTGGCCTCCTCTTGTAAAACTGACTAACTGCCTTCTGTTGGTCTGTTCCAACAGTCTTGACAATCCAATTGGATGGCAGTTGTTACAAGTGGATGGCAGTTATTACAAGTGGCTGGTTAGTTGAGCTGATGTGGCCTCCTCTTGTAAAACTGACTAACTACCTTTTGTTGGTCTGTTCCAACAGTCTTGACAAAAAACTTGTAGACATAGTAAAAAAATGATTTAAGTGCTATTAATTTAACAATGGATATGGCTTTAAACAGAACGGAATAGCGAAACAAGACTCGTGTAGCCAACCCCATATAGTTGGGATAAGGGTTGGATGATGTTGATGATGAGTGAATAGATAATGTGCATATTGAAAGTCATCTTTCCTAGAAAATTCTATTAGGTTACAAAGGTAAACTTTTAAAAAACTTTTTATAGGATTATAATATTAGAGTTCAACAAAAATATGGAGTATATTAATAGTTAATATTTGTCATTAGGTGTGTCTACAACTCCGCATGTCCTTTTTTTTGTGTTTCCAAGTCAGACTGTTGGACACACACTAGATTATGATTAGGGGTGCTCGTCAAAAACCAAAAAACCAAACCAAAAAAATCCAGTTAACCAAACCAGTCATTTTGGTTTTGGTTCAGTATTTTTGAAAAACCTAAGGTACCAGTTTGGTTTCGGCTAACCAATATGAAAAACCAGCGATTAACCAAACTGACCAGTATATATGTTATAGATATTTCTAGGATCTATATTATATGTTTATTTATAATATATATATATATATATATATATATATAAATATAAAAAACCAAAGAACCAAACCAACCGCTTAACCAGTTGATTTTGGTTCACGGTTTTCCAAAAACTGAAGGACCAGTTCGATTTGGAAAAAAAACCCACGGTTCGGCTAACTGAACCATGAGCATCCCTAATTCCAACTCTTGTATCTGTGACCATGCAAAACTTACATAAAAATAGGGATTTTCCCCATATAAATAGTATCTGTCGTGATGGGGATCGGTCCATGCATTATAAGACCTATTCTCATAAGAAGAAGGCCAACAAACAGGTTCTGATTTGGCATGGAGAAGACTCTTGGGACTTGGACTGATCTGTTCAGGGGTATTTTCATTATTTGCATCTTGTTCCTCTAGCTTAGTAGTGATTGTCTTTCAATTTTCAGTTTATTTGCATTAGTAGATAGAAAGTTATTGTGTTTCTTGATGCACAAGACAAAGAGTGGCACTTTTTGTAATTATGGTGAACAGTGTTCCCGGCCACACAAGTCACTATATAAATAGATGTATTCTCTTCCTTTTGAAGCTAATGAATGAATGAATGAATGAAGATTTCTTAAGAGCTCTCTTGCTGTATGGAGTGGTTTCTACAAACCCTAGAGAGATTCTAGGACCCCTTGGAGTGATTCCTTGGGATTTCTCTCTCTTTTCTCTTTCTTCACCCTTTCTACTCTCTTTTCCTCTTGTTTCTGTTTTCTGATAGTTTGTTGTAGCCCCACTGCATCAGTTGTCATGCATGTTGATCAAAATTAAATTTGTCCCAAAATTCCAACTCCTTCCTGTCAACACTCTGCTACACATCAAACATACTTGTTTTGGGTGTTGGAGCCACTTTAAAAAATGTGGGTTATGAATAGAAATCGGGTTGTTTTATCTTTTGTAGGAACCTTTCCAACCTGAAACCTTCAGGTGTTTGCTTTTCAGAAGAATAAATGCTTAGATTTGAAGTTTATATCCTCTGTGATAGAACTTTATTCTGTAAACGGTAACTTTAATTCATTAATTCATAAAAATTACACATCAGACATTCCATAGTTGGAATGCTGATCCCATAAACAATTCCACTGTTACAATACAGCCCAGAATAGCCCACTCCTGTTTGATCATTGTTTGGCTAATGCATCAGCCAGGGCATTAGCTCTTCTTCTAACTCATTTGAAATCTGCTTCAATTTCCCATGTTAGACTCCATATTTCTCACATAGCTTGCCTGTAATTCCAGATTCCCAATTTCCGGCTTTCATCCAGTCTATTACTATCCATGAATCCCCTTCCACTTCAATCTGATGTAGTCCCATCTGTTTGCCAGTCTCAATCCTTGCAGTAAAGCTAACACCTCAGCTCTTAACGAGTCATCCAGTCCTATAGGCCCCTAAAAAAGAGCCAAGGTTTTTCCTTCCCCATCTCTAAAAAACCCTACACCTGAAGGCCCTGGGTTACAAAGCGAGCTTCCATTGAAATTCATCTTTGTTCTTTGCTGTGTAGAAACTGCCCAACTCTCTTGAATTGCTGAAGTGGATCTTGAAGAGTTTTCTACTGAACTTCGGCCCCTTTTTTTGAAGAATAGAATTCCATCCCCTAATTATATCATCCACTGAGAACTCCTTAAACAACTCAACTGTTTTTACCCAATGCACTACCTTAATAGTGATGCAATCAATCAAACCCTCCCTCAATTTTCTTTTTCCTTGAAAATCCTATTATTTCTTTCCTCTCACACTGCCCATAAGACCGCAGCTCTTGTGGCTCTCCACAACATCCCTCCCCTTTTCTTTGGTCACCTAAAGAAGTTTGCTTCAAAGAGGCCTGCCACATTAGGAGGAATCCACCTGCAACCAAAGAGAGAAGAAAACCATTCCCAAATAAAAGAGACAGAAGTGATTGAACTATCCCCATTAAATTCGGCAACTGAACCATCCACCTTGTTTACACTTTACAGTTCTTCCTATTTACTTCTTCATCCCCCTCTCAGATCTCAGTAATTGGCTTCATTATTCTTCAAACATCCTACCACATCCCCCTCAGTATATATACTTTGACATGAGAACATATGCACAAGAATAATCTGCTTTCAGAGTTGCAAAGACGAGCTTGGCATTACACATCGTCACTGTACAGGATAATAAGTTTTGAATTTTCAATCCTTAAAATGAAGGTATGCTTCGTCAACCTCTTCAGCCTTCAAGTTCACTAGCCTTATCTTTCCCTCCCTTCTCCAAGTTCATGGATACTTTTCATGCAAGTGTGAAACTGTAAGTACAACATGGGGGAAATGTCAGGCAACGCATCGCATGACACCCACAACGAAGGTGAAAAAGCAATGGATAGAGGCTTAGTGGAGAAAGCAAAATGGAGGACAGCTTTGAGGGTAGAGGCCAAAGATTTTCTCTTTGAAGAAATTTGGATCAAAGGAAGAATGGGACTGAAAATAAGAGAACAGAAGAGGGCTACGGTTCTTGTGGAAGGCTCAGACATGATTATCTGGGTGAAGGAATATGTCTTTGATGCAGCAACTAAAGGGAAACAGATAAAATGGAAAGAAAAGTCCTCAGAGTCAGGTAGGAGGTATGTGATGGAGAACAAGGGGAATGCAAAGGGTGCATTCATATCCCTCACTGAATTTTTTTTCTAAAGGAAGGAAGCAGATGGTTTGCTTCCCTCAAGGGAAGAATGGCAAAGGATGGATAAAGATAGCAGGGATACTTACAAAATTCCTAAATAGAAGGGAAAAAAAGAACTATCAGAAATTGATGAAAGGGAACAAAGACCAGAAACTAGAAGACAGATCAGGTATAAGGAAGAGGTACCAGAAAAGAAATTTGTAACCATGGCAAACAGTAGGAGGGATCCTTCCTGGATAGCGGATGGAACAGTAGGAAAATGGGAAAGAACACTAGTGGTTGAAGCTGGAGGATTGGTGACAGATTGGTGGAAAGTTGCAGAACTACTGAAGCTCAAACTGGAGCTAAGAAGCACCTTCATTTTAACTCCGTTCGATTCTGTTAAAGCAGTATTGGACCCTCTCGAAAACCAGGTAAATGTTAGAGCATGTTGTATCCAAGATGTTCTGGGGACCTTTTCAGTCTACAAATGGTCTATTTCTTCAAATTCGAAAGTGTTCTCAGTGGAAGATAGTGTTACTGTCCGAGTGATTGGGCTACCATTCCATCTTTGGAATCAAGAAACTGCAAACTCAATCGC